GGCTGAGTTATCGAAAAAATTGTCATTATTGAGAAGACCATCCCTGAGGGGGGGGGTACAGGGATTTTTTCAAAAAAAATTTTTTTTCTCCGAATTATTCACAACATATATTAATCGACTCAGTTTTTAACTCTGATTCCGAATCTGATATTAGTTTTGAACCAAATCGTAGCTTTCTAACAAAATATCCCCTGAAAAAGGTCTCAAAATGCAGAAAAACTGCATGAAGAAAGCAAATAGACTAGATATGTCTCAGATGATAAAAAACGAAGTGAATATCCCTGTTCACTTTTTGAAGTACACATAACACTCGGATTTAAATCCGATGTTTTCGCATTTATTTTTATTGTGTTCAATATGAATATATTTTCATAGACTATCGTCGTAATATAATCAAAGCTGATCTTGGTTTAGTTAAAAAAGGTCAATTCCCAATGGCACTTGTAGAAAATGCTCATCGGTTTGTTTTTATTTGAATACTTGTATTTAAAAAAAAAACGTAATTAATTTTTATTTATATGTATATTTAGAAAAATGACACCAAGATCAAATAAATTTTCAGGTTTTTTTGCATCAAATAGTTTTAGTAATTCTGATCCAAATAATTCAAGTCAGAATCCAATTATTACATTTCAAGATCCATCAACACAAACATTTTTTAAATAATTTTTATTATTACTTTCATTGTTACTATTGAATGGCAAGAAAGAATTTACGGCTAGAGATGTTTACTGATATTAATATGATGATCTTATTTCTTTTTTTTTTGTTTTATTTTTCTGTATTATCTTCACTCAATAAAAAGAAAACAATTTTATATTATTATTTTTTTTTATCATAATTAATGTTCAAATGCTTTTTTGTTTTTGTTTAATTTTCAAAAAAAATTTGAATTTATTTTTCTTGTTTTGACAATAATTTCATCAAGATTAGCTTTTAAAAAGCTCTGATTTATTATTCAAAATATAAGAATATCAAGACTTAGACTATGATAAGTCAGATAAGGAAGTATTTTTTCAAGCAGAAAACACGTGATGACATTGATCAAGATTATCGACACTTATCATCTAATATGACCGATGAATAATTTTACTAATTCAAGTTTTTCAAACGAACAAATTCAGATCTATTTATCAATTTTATAATATTAATCAATGCGGTTGTTGTTTTTACCTTTGTTAAAATCGAATATTTTTGAGTTTAATGAGATTTTATATTCTTGTGCACGTATAACACATGTCTAAGTGACATCAATGAAGTGTAGTTAAAAGAACTCTGACGAGCTTTTGTCATATAATAATTATGATACATATAAGTTTTATCATATACATGTTTTTTTCTTTGCTCTCTTTTTAGAAAGATTTACTGTATTTGATAGATAGAGAAGAAGTATTTAAATAGTTTAATATATTTGCCATGAAATGAATACATGAAAGAACGTCTATAATATACATAAAGAAAACACGAAATAGGATTATATATTGTCAAATAATGTTTTTCATTCTTCGAATGTGAATATTCATATCTGTTGACCAAGTATATTTTTAAACATCTCTTCATTTGAGATAATTATAAAAGATCAAAGAATCAAGGACTGATATATATATATATATATTAACAAGCCTTACATGTTTTCAATGTCTTATGATTTAGTATAATAAAATGATAAAGAAAATATTTTTTATTTATTAAAGAATTTTAGTTCTACATTTTTTACTTCTAAATATAATTAAATACATCCAACGTCATTTACATCTTGAAATAGAAGAAAAATTAATATTAGTAAATTGGTTCATAATTATAAGATCTTACGCTCCTTGACACGTCAATGGTGGCATCCATTATAATTTAAAAGTGTATTGAATAAGAAGAAATGCTGATTGACTTGATAATTATATATATAAAGATATACATTTGACATGAATTATATTGTTTCGTTAACTACGCACATAGTCTTATATTGTTGAATAGAACTGTATGAGATATTTGTAAGATAAATATAAAAAACGTATGTCAAGTATATCTTTGTATTTATTAATTTTCTTTCTTTTTTTTTCCGCTACTTGTCTTCTATATAATGAATAAGAAATAAGAGAAAATGAGAGAGAAAACTTGTCGGCACATCTAATGTTCTTCTAAAATTAATCACAAAAAATCTATTGATAAATATAAAGAATTTTTCATACTATTCTATTTGTTACATAATAATCGAGATAAAGTTGATTTTCAAATAGATTTCAATAAACAAAGGTATCGTCAAATAATTTATTTCCTATAGAACTTATTTATATTAGAAAGAAAAAAATAAAAACAAATACTGAGAAAATTATAAGTTTTACTGTTATCACATCAATAGCAAACGTCAGAGTGTTGACAAATAACATTGTTTATTGCAAATAATTCGCTAGAATAGAAAATTCTTTACTAAATATTCATATTCTATGAATTACTAATATATATATATATAGAAAAATACGAAGTTTGATAATTGATTATGTCAGTTGAATATTTCTTATAGTTATTTATATCCAAGTCATACATTATGTGTTTCTCTAACGTAATTTATTAAAATATACTTTTACAATAGATGTTCAATCAACAGATAGTTGTTTCGTTTCTGTTTTTTCTTTCTTTTACTTTTGTTGTTTTGTACACCTACACAATGATGAAAGAGAACTCATCATATTTCATGTACTTATCTTTGAGTATTCATTCTTATTTGTTTTTAATTGTATATCGATTGAATTTTTCTTTTGCTTCTAGAACTTCTTTCTTTACTATTCAGTTATTTTAAATAATGAATTCATCAATAATATGTTCACATAATTCAACTTCTTGTCATTTTATTGATATTGAAGGACACTGTTTATCGGATAATATGGTACTTGATTTAGTTTTAAAATATGTTATACCAACATATTATGAATGGATATGTATTATACTTTATGCTATCGTGTTTTTTGTTGGTACAATTGGTAATTTACTTGTAATTATTGTTATACAACGAAATCGAAGCATGAGGTTGTATGAAAAAAATAAAATAAAAACAAACCGAAATATTATATTATCTCGTATTTTTTTTTATAATCTTTTGTTTTTAGAACAGTGACTAATATGTTTATTATGAATTTAGCTGCAGCTGATCTTTTAGTACTTCTATTTTGTTTGCCAGCTACAGCTGTACAAGATGTAACTAAAACATGGTTTTTTGGCTTATTTCTTTGCAAATTTGTTAATTATATACAGGTATGTTTTTTTTTTCATTTATTATACGAAAGACATAGGAATGTCAGAGCAAAAAAAAAGAAGCATTATCGTTAAATAATAATTATTTCAAAAACATGTATAATCGAGTTTTTTCTCTCATTCAATTAGAGTAACTAATGATTTATTATCATAACCATGGTAATTAGAATATTAAGGATCATCATTAGCATCTAATTCCATTGTAGAAACTGAATCTACACTTTGACGATTATTAAATTGTGTTGTTTCATTTCTTCGTTGTCTACCAGTATCACCCAGATGTGTCAAATCATGTGCATGATGTTCTGGTAAAGTTTTAAGTAATTCTTCAAAATTACGTGGTCGATAAATACAACGAAGTATATAAGTAAATACAACAACAATTACTAATAGAACAACAACTAAAATAAGTAAAAGATAAACAGGTTGATTAGTAAATGATATTTCTAATTTATCTAATTGACAACTGTCTGAAATAGAAACAACATGACAAAAACGACTTGAACCAATTACATTTGTTTGATTGTTTCTAAGAAAAAATACACATATTAAATAATTTCCTTCGGCTTCTAAATGTTGCATTTTTAATTGGGCCGTATATTTCGTTTGATTTCCTTGTAAACCTACAATTTTAGTTCGTTCTTCATGATGTTCTTCACTAATAAACGTTATTGAAAAATAATAGGAATCAATATTTAATTCTTTTCTAGCATAAGTTATATTGGATATTGTAAAATTAAATATTGCATCAAGACCAAGTACTTTACTGTAATGTTCATATTTAAGTGCATTTAATTTTTGAATTTCTAAAAATGTTTCATTTGATGTTAAATCAGTTTCAGCCACTATATGTTGAATAATAAGAATTAATAGTAGATATAACATGTTTTATGCGTTGAATAAGAAAAAAAAACAAATCTTCATTGTTTTATAATTTATGTGCTCAAGTCATAAAATACTTTTATTATTCAGAAGAAAAAGAATTATATTTTTTTTTTTATAGAATATGTCAGTATCTGTATCTGTATTAACATTAATGGCTATTTCAATTGAACGTTATCAAGCTATTGTTCATCCATTAAAATTTAGTGGAACAAAACAACGTGCAAGAATTTTAATTCTTTCTGTTTGGATACTTTCATTATTACTTGTTCTTCCAGGTTATAATAATGATTTTATTTTTTTTTCTAAGAGGAAAAAAAGAGAATAATATCAAAGAATTTTTATGACTTTTAGAATGTACTTATACTTTTGATTGAATTTAAGACTAATAAGATTGTTATTTTGATTTTGATAGACTCTTTTATCAAATCTATCCTTTTTTGTAAATAGAAACTGAATCATTTTTTTCTCTTAGTATTTCACTTGAAGTTTTACCTAACATAATTTTAACGAAAAAAAAACAAAACTGAATCAGACTATACATGTAAATTATCTGTTTGAATATAGAGCACAAATTAGATACATTCTATAATTAAACATATATAAATATAGATAAAATATCAGACATATTATATTTCAATGTATAAGAATGTGAAGAAAAGAACGTAATTGTTTCTAAAATATATTTAGATGTTTTTATGATGACAGTTAGTCGACAATTTGGAGATCGATCACCAACAAACTATTTAACATAGTAATGTATATTTATTCATTTTATTAAAAATTATATTTAATTAAGTTTAGTTGTCAATGGGATGCACATCCATTATTTGATCTTCTCTATCAATTACATATATCACTTTGTTTATTTGTCATCCCACTTTGTTTAATGGTATATGCATATACTGGTATTGCACGTGTTTTGTGGGGTTCATTACCAAGTGAAAGAATATTTCATGATGATAAACAAAGAATGAATTCAAGTCATTTAATACTTTCAGGTTGAGATTATTAATTAAAAATCAACAAAAACAAATATATATATATTTTAGATGAATGCCATAATAATAGTTTAAGAAATTCAACAAAATCAGCTAATTTAATTGTTCAAGAAAATCGTCAAAAAGCAGCTAAAATGCTTATATCTGTTGTAATTATTTTTACTATTTGTTATATTCCAGTACATGTTTTTAACTTATTCAGGTAAAGAAAACAAAAAAAAAATAGAAAATAAAATTTTCTTTATAAAAATAAAATACTTTAGATATATTTATGTCTATTTTGAATATATTAAACAAAATCCATCAAATGTTAAATTAAATGAAAATGTTGGATGTTTTAAACCAAAAATAGTTCATCTTGAACGTACGGGTACGATAAAAATTGTTACAATTAGTGCATTAATATCTCATTTTCTTCCTTATTTCAATTCATCAATCAATCCAATTATATATAATATTATGAGTGGTAACAAACAGATATCAAATTTCTTTTTTCTTATTTTGTTTTTATTGTATATTTTATATCTTAGATAAGTTTCGTCTCAAATTTCGTGAACTATTTTCATCATGTTGTTGTCGTTATTGTTGCTGTTGTAAACCAATTCCAAGAATGAAATCAACATCTTCAGCAATTATACAATTTAGATCATCGGGACTAGTACAACATTCAGTAATGTCAACAAATCTTAATCAATCTTCAACGAAGAATAAATATAGCCAAAATTCAACTAATACATTAAATATTAGCGGCAGAGGTGGTCCGATCAAGACTAATGCTAATAATAATAATAATAATCGTAATCATCATCATCACAGGATGTCAAGACATAATGGAATCAATGCTTACACCCACAATCGACCTATCTGTTTTCGATTGACTAATGTTTGACAGGAAATGCCTTTAAAAGATATAATACAGACAATTACAAAATGAATGCGAAAGAAAAGTACGGCTCTAATTGTTCTAGAATCTCAATAAATGAATAAACAGAAGCCCACGCTAAAAGAAATGGTTGCCATTCTATCTATATATCTATCTGTAATAACGCCTACTGACAGCCATGTCTCATTAACGAATATTGTTTTTCATCTTAATACGAGATATATATATATATAAGTACGGAGCGATCTATTAATATCATATTTTACTATAAGTATCCTAATCTGAACACGTAAAGAGAAAATTCAATGAATTCGATAGTTTATTTGATTTGTGTCGGTACATTGTTTCTATTGTTTAGTTGTACAAAAATTCACAGTCAACCGGTGAATTTTGATTTTGATCAGTAAGTTATTTGAAGATATTATTTTTCATATTGAAATAAAGTACATAATATAAATAGTAAACGGGAAACAGGTTATCATCCATTTCCTGAAATGAGTCGATTTCTTAATTCACATTCACGTATTCATCGACAATCTTCTCGACCATCCTTCTCATTTCTTGGATATATTTGTAGGTGAGGTTGAATTTTATTAAATAAAAATAAATCAATTCTAATTTTGCTTTCGATTTTTATTAGTATGGCTAATGATGAAAAAAAACTTGAAGAAATGTTAGATACATTCGGTAGAAAATATGCATCATTAATAATGACTATAATTGAACAAGATTGTCCAAAACCTAATCAACGCAATAAAAGAACAATAAATAATATCAATCAAAAAGACTTCTCATACATATTTTTACTTTATATCACCGATTATTATCATAAACTATAATAATTAATGTAAAAATAAGAAAACTTAGGCAAATATTTATTTTCTATTTCATTTTTTGATGTTAATCGTCAGATAGATTTTGATTTGAAAATAAATATATATATTATATATTCAAGTAGGCTATAATAACAATTCTCATTATTCTCGAACAAAATATACTTCTGTTTAAAACAATAAATTCGCTTGAGTTCAACTTAAAGGTTCAGTTTTCTTGACCGAAAAATTTTTAGATTGTTGATCTTGTTTTTTTCCTTGCTACGGTATACACTTCGAAATATATTCGATCTACTAGATATATTTGAAGAATTAACAATAAAAACAGAAATGGATGAAACGTTGTCGCTATTTTTGAAAAGTGAAATTTTTCACAAAACCAATGAAGTATCGCTCTAGTTCCTCAACAATAGTACATATGATCGTTTGAAATATTCTTCTACTTATACTCTGTCATGGACAAGAATGAGTTCTTTTTTCAATTATTATCTTTTTCCCTTCTTTTTGTATTACTACATACGCATTTTTATGTCATTATATAGGTAACAGAGTCAACTGCGTTTGTATACATATATTATACATTATTTACGTATTATTTTTGTATCTATTTCAAAATGATCCATTTTAATGATATTAAGAAAAGACAAAACAGCAATGCAAAGAAAGATATTCTATTTAACCTTTTTCAATTTTACACTGTAAATATGTCATTTTTTGAAAGCCGATAAGTTTCATAAATGATCACTCACTCTATTATCAATAATCGATGATGATGCAGCTTTGAGCTGTAGCAGCAATCTCACTCACAGCAGTTCTTGTGCAACTGTTTTAGCTTTTCGTGCGCACAATACCATCCTTGTTATTATGATTTACAATCATACTGTGTTTCGATGACTATGTGTCAGTAAATCGAGCGAAAACTTCGAGTGAGATTGTCATCCTGGTTCAGAGCTGTATCATCATCATCGATTATTGGTAGTAAAGTGGATGATCATTTGCGAAGTTCATCGGCTACAGAAAATAATCAATTGACTATTAAAAAATGACATATTTAGATATACTTAGATTCTAAAATTGAAAAAGGTTAAATAGGATATTTTTCTTATTTGAATTGCTATTTGTCTCCTTTCAATACCACTAAAATGGATCATTTTCAAAAAAAAAATATAAAAATAATACGTAAATACAGTATAATATATCTGTACAAATGCAGTTGACTCTGTTACCTATATAATGACATAAAAATGTTTACATAATGAAAGGAGAAGAAAGGGAAAATGAGCTTATTTTTGTCCATGGGGAGATTACAAATTAATCTGTTGTCATTTATGTTCGCTAGTGTTTACAATAGAAAAAAACTAAGCTCAAGTTAAAAATAAGACAAGAAAACATGTATTTTCTGTGAGTACTCTCAGAATGTTGGCATTTTTATTCGAACAGAAGAAGATGAAAAGAAACAAAAATAGAAATAGACGACCCAAACGGTGATAAGCAGAGATAACTATTTTTTGCTTTTACAAATCTAATATCACTTGCAGCGAAGTATCAAAGAATTTTTAGTCTATGACAACGTTTATTCTACTCATTGACATATATCTATCATGAAAGCTTTAAAATTTTCTCATGAGCTGTTCTCCAAAAGTGCAGAAAATTAGAGATTTATCTTCATTAGTCTACATATAATATTTAACTGATTGATTATTTACATATGCCATAATTGAGTTTAAAACGTTCGAAGGGTCATCAATAACAAAACAGTAGTTATTTCTTTTTTTTTTATAATCATACTTCTGCTTTATAATTCTACAACACAATTAATTTAGCAGTTCATAGTGTTATTGAAAATCGCTATAAAAAAACAATGATTCAATAGCAAATTTATTAAAAATTTTGTCATATAAATACTCTAGAACAGTTGTACTGAAGAATGCTCTTCACTTGTTTTTCATGGATTTTAAATCAAAGTTAAAACAAAATGTTTCCAACAAGATTAATCAAAATGTATAGGATACAATACCAAATTCATGATAGAATATATCGAACATTATATTCTTTTACAATAGACACAAACTAAATGGAAAATTTGTTCTATCAATAGATTACAAAACTTTCTTCTTATTCAAAAAGTATATGATTTAGATTTGTCATATATTCATAAATATAATCAAGCGAAAAATACTAACACAACAACTATGTTATTTTTATACAAACTTGTCAAAAGCATCTTCTATGATGACAGCTAATTGTAATTAAATGTTATTTTATAAGGTCATTTCGACACATCTGTTAACAGTGATGACCAAAACTATTTAACACAATTTATTTTCAATTTTTCTCCATTATATTAAATGCTACAAAATATTTGATTAATGATTCAAGTAGAGAAAATTATTTATAAAAAATTAATGTACAATGATAAAACGATAGAGTAAACAACTCTCTATGATGTAATTTGCTTGAGTTACAACATGTTGATGATGGTACAAAAATTGTTGTGTCTCTAAGAGATAGAGAAACAAACGATATATAATTGTTATATGTCAATTGAAAATGTCATCGAGAACCTAGTGACATACACGTAATTTCGTACAGAATTTTTTGCTAGAATGTTCTTCTTAGTCCGAACAAAAATATAGTTCGACATCTATGTACTGAAAAGCTAATTTTTGAAGTTGTCTCGAGCTCTCATCTTAAAGAAATTGCAGTTATCATTTTAATTTTCTTATGAGTTTTTTTAGAAATTTTCCTCAAAGCACAATGCAATTTCTTTTTAGCGTTTACCACAGCAGAAAACAAAACCTTTGTCGAATAACAATCATCAATTAATTGTGCGAGTGTTGCTCGGTTTGTTTACAAATGTGTGACATATATATATATAGGAAACGTATATAACATGTTGTCAATTCATGATAGCAATGGAAAATTTAATAGGAAGTATTATACATATGTATAAGAACGATTCGTTAACTAGATGAAAGGACAAGCTTGATCGAGATGTCAAAAAAAAAACAATTCTTACAGACAATTATGATTATTTGTTTTAAATGAGAATATTATTGGAGTATGTAGTAAGCGAGACGAAGCAGTTAAATTTAACAAAATTTGTTTCAATTATAAACATGCCATTTCTATAGCGTGTTTTTTTTTGCTTTATCATTATAGTGAATTCACTAACAAACCAATAGTACATATTTCAGAAAAACAATAGTTCAAGATTTCATCGTTTGTCTATGGAAGGATTTATACAAAATAAACTAAAGGGTGGTCGAAAAAGTTTCGACTCCTCCCTCTTAATAAATTGATGTTATCTATGAAAAACTGGTATATCATTGATTGATCGAAATCTAAATTTACAAGACACACAATATGAGATTGTAATCCTACTTGTAATTGACTTTTCTATATATATATATATCCATGAATCTTCGCAGCAATTATTTCATATAGGTAACGAGGAAACTCTTACGATCTCATCTGAAGAAGATTTAGATCTTAACATAGGACCTATTCGAGTTGACTACGAAAAAATTGCTTTTTGGCAAAAACGTACAGAAAAACACTATTGTATCTTTTGAAGTTTTTGCTAGTGTAATGGTTCTCTAGGCAAACATTTTTTGAAAAGCTTCTTGTTAGCCAAAAAGTCAACTTTTCGAGAATGAGTATTTAGAAGAAATGAAAATTGAGGTGCCTTTTGTAGAGTAGCCTCTCATATACAAGCTGATATAATGATGAACTACTTCCTGATGACATGGACTTTGATGATTAAGTGAAAGGATGGCGAAGAACTGTGTCCTAAAGTAGATAGAAGAAAACAATATCCTTATGATTAATGATAACATCTACATTGTGTTTTACACGTTAATTTCACAGAAATTACAATAACAGTTTTTCAGTCAAGACTAATAAAATGATCATCTTTTCTTTCTCTATAAAATTCTATATTTCGATCAATTAACAATATAACAATTTGCCATAGATCACGTGAATTATTTTAGAAAAATCGAAACTTTTGAATCATCCTTGATGACACTAGTTAGCAAAATAACAAAAACAAAAAACGAATCTCAATCCATTATATAATGATAGGATACAAGGTAAATATATATATATTTTTTTTTATATTTGCCGAAAAATGAATTTCATGTTTTCGTTAAGTTTGAGTACGCTAACGAAAAAGATAAACGTTTATTTCAGTTCAAAACGATTTCATATGATTTTCTTTTCTAATACATATATAACTACCCACAAAATACAAACGAATTCTACATAAACACAAGAAAAATGAACGAAAAACAAAATTAACTTTCAATCAAAATGAAAAGAAAAAAGACGAACATACATTCTTTTATTGATGTTTTCAAAGAAAAAAAAAAAAACAACAAAATGAGAGAAGATTTTTGACTAAGCACATAGTGCATACATCAAAAATAAAAATGTCATCCTGAGAAAAGAAAATTATATAGGGAATAAATCAATAATCGGCTAAGAACAAAAAGAAGAATACAATTTTTTTTTTTACACATAGCTATTGAATTATTCTTTTAAGCACGTTCACCACGAATGCGTCGTGCTAATTGAATATCCTTGGGCATGATCTAAAACAAAAAGAATTTTACTTGAAATTTTTATATAAAAAAAAAACAAAAATTCTTACAGTAACACGTTTGGCATGAATAGCACATAAGTTTGTATCTTCAAAAAGTGAAACTAAATAAGCTTCACTTGCTTCTTGAAGTGCACCAATAGCAGCTGATTGAAAACGTAAATCAGTTTTAAAATCTTGTGCTATTTCACGAACAAGTCGTTGAAATGGTAATTTACGTATTAATAATTCTGTTGATTTTTGATAACGACGAATTTCACGTAATGCTACTGTACCTGGACGAAAACGATGTGGTTTTTTAATACCACCTGTCTAGTAAAACATAAAAAGTAACAAGATTAATTTAGTTTATCTATGGAATAAGATATCGACTAAAGATGAGCGGTATTATCCCGAATTTATT